GAGTGGGTGGCTCGAGCAGTCCCTGCAGCCCAACCGTGGCTGTCCCCCTTGGCTTCCACCACATGCTCTTGGCCCAGCAGCAGGCAACCCCAGTGAGGGGTACAAGATACCTTAAAGTTTTCCATCTTTAGGCACAGAGCTGAGAATATGTGGGAGATACCCAGTGAATACAGGGACGCTTTCCTTTAGTTTCTGGACACCGTCATTCAAAGACTCAAGATGCACTAGGACCCAGACAGAGGAGTCACCCTTACTGTCCAAACAGCTCACCCAGGCTTCTGTTCTTTGACCCCCAAACTCGAGTCCAAGATGCCAGGGCACAAAGCTATGAGCCTCTTCTTTAGCCAAATGAAATCCATAGACACTGCATCTTCACAATGAAGCTTGAAACCAGTCAAGCATTTTTATTAAAAAAAAAAAAAAGAAGAGAAAGTCTAACGGTATATAGTCTATACATGCTAGAGCTAATTGTTCGCCACCCCACCCCCCTCATATTATATAGCCTCATGTATTTTTGTGTGTTAACAGGAAACAAAAAACACCACCAGAATTTCAGTCTGCCAAGAGGGGATGGGGAGTGTCGTGATATTCAGGGATCTCCAGCGTCACTCTATGAGCAGACATGAGGTGGCGGGGCTGTCAGAGCCCCACTGTTCCTGGAGGGATGCACAATATGGCCCTAGTGACTTGGTGGTGCTCGGAAGCGGGAAATGTGGGGACAGCTAAGGTGACCACGGTTTATCATCTCCCCTGTACGAGTGAAAGGGGGACTATTAACAGTTAGATGGGCACAAAGGCATAGACAGGGACACACAGGGGAAAACTATGGACGCCTTAGCTATGTCAGAATTGCTTATTGCTGTAACAAGCCTGGTGGGGGGGGCACCTCCTTTTGGACATTTATAGCAGGCCTGAAAGTGAAGGCTACTCGGTGTGGCACTGGGGTGTGGCCTCTTCAAGGACAACAGTTGTTGAGTCACTTGTCCTGACTGGCGCTGAGAGCCTACTTTGGAGTAGAGGATGGAGACAGGAAGGAAAGGGAATATGCTGACGCATGACAAGGGTAGCACCAGAAACCAGACATTACCCCACGGAGCTGGACGCTCGCGTCTGTGGGAAGGGTCCCCAGCAGGGGGTCCAGGAGCAGGTGAAGACCGAGGAGCCTCTGGGTTTTAGCTCTGCAACTCCGGGACTGTCACAGGCTGTGGTCTGCCTAAATGTCAGAACCTCAGCCAAGTTAGAAGCAATTCCTCCAGGCTGACGGAGGGCATCCGACACCCTCAGGCCTCAGCGTGAGCCAGTTTTCCACTCCTCTAGGCCACAAGGTTTGACATTAGGTAATCTTTGGTCTATCGTATGGTATGGTTGGTTTGCAGCAAAAGCTCTGATGGGCCCGGACAACCAAGGGGGAGGGACAAGACTGCCACGCCTGGCTCAGGCTGTTATGTGCCCACTGCCACAGCCCAAAGAGAAGGGCAAGACCTCCCAGGGAGCATCCTGACCCAACCCTTAGAGACTTGGGCACAATGAAAGGATGGCAGCCAAGCCACAAATGTTCCTGTCCTTGGTGACGTCGAGTTACCAGCTATTGGAGGACAGGAGCAACTTCATTATCCCACTCAGTGCTTTGTACTTGATGCAGGCTGTATCAATACTAGACTGTCCAGGCCTCAGCCTCAGGACCTTCGAAAACATGGGGAGATTCGGCACCTGTCCTTTCCTGTGGCAAGTTTGTTTTCCTACACTCCACCTGGTAACGAGATCCCCAGTGGACTCAGAAATGTTTTAAGGCCAAGAACTTTGCCGAAGAAATTGGTGACGTGGGGAGGCCTTGTGGTGGAGGCTTAGTGACTACTGGAAACTCGCTAAGGGCTCTAGCAATTCCTCAGTGAGGTAGGGCATTAAAAGTGGTTCAAGTTGGAGCCCAGCTCCCCCGCCTCAGCCTGGGACAATGACATAAACCCACCAAATGGCAGAGATTTTGAGTGAAACATTTTGCGAAGGCCTCTTTTGCCAAGTGGTGATCCTAAAACTCACATTTTCCAAAGATTTAGCCGCACTACAAGCTATGGTTTTTACACGCCCGCCTTTAGGGCTGGCATTTGGTCTGTGACCTACTGCCCTGGGTGATCATGGGGTGAAGGGAGTAGAAACCTAAATTATGAGGGAGGGTCCCCTGCTTCCCTGGAAATGCCATGCACATTTTGCTGCCGTTGGCAGAGGTACAGTCATGGGCACCGGGGAGAAGGCACCCCTGGCTTCAAGTCTCAGCGTGGTCATGATTTGGATGAAACTGGACATGTGACTTCACCCTGTGAACCTCAACTTTCTCCCCACAGCTCAGCGCTGATCCTATGCACCTCATAGGGTTGTCGTGAGGGTTAAGTTAGAGGAAGGAGTTGAAGCACCAGGGACCTGCCTGGAGCTTGGCATGGGAGTTGTAACTGTGGTCTGGGAGATTCTTCTGTGGGCGTAACCTCAGGGGAGTTTTGCATAGCCTCCATCAGTTGCTCACAGGATGGCGGCCACAGGGCTAGATGCTGTAAAGCTAAGTCGTCAGGCAAGGACAGCCAGGGAGAGCCACTGGCCACCAGACCCCCCCACTTCCGGTTGCCCGTGCAAGTGCCCACCACTGTGGCACACGGAGCCCGAGAGAGGAGTCCTTAGGCCATGGATGTGTCCTGAGCAAAGAACGGTGAACAGAAAGGAATGTGGTTTCAGTATCTTCAGTTCACACCAGAATAACAATAGTAATAATAATAAAATAAAAAGGCAAGTTCTTTCATTTGCAGGAACACTTCTGCCCACAGAACGGTGGAACCAGTCTATTCCCACCCAGCTGACCTTCAGGAGGAGGGAACGAGGCCAAAGATAAACCCTTTGTGTGGAAGCAGCAAACAAAAACCATAGTTCACAGGCAGGCAGGGAGCCACATGGATCCTGGTCTACCCAGCGCCTAGCACGTGGTAGGCGCTCACAAAATACTTGAAAAGGTCACAGAAAGCAGAGAGTGAATCAGGGGAAAAAAAAAAAAAAGGCTGAGTTCTGTCTTTTGAAGTGTAGTCAAATCCTGCATAACAGCTTCATAAAGGCTGTTTAAGCCAAAGTGGGTCAAAAACTCTGGAAAACATGCTATGGGCTTCCTTCCAAGTGAGGGGACCTCGGAGACGTGGGTGGCCCTCTTCCAGCTTCCCTTCTTCCCCTGACTGCCATCCTCCCCCACGGTTCTGGGCACAGGGCCAAGGGGCAAGCGGGCATTGCCAGAAGCACCTCAGGGCCCTGCACCCAAGATCCCCGGGGATGGGGTTCACAGACTGACTGAAGGAAGGAATAAAGGTGCTACTGTGAATCAGAGAACACTCCTTCTCCTGTAGAAGCATCCAGAGTCCATGTGGCCGTGGGGAGAGAGGAGAGCAGAAGAGGGCTCTTTGCACCGAAATCTTTGGCACTGCAGGGGGACAGTGGGCGTCCCCGGGAAAGCTGGTCCTGTGGTCCCCAGAGCATCACAGCAGATGGACACTGAATTGGAGCTCTCTGAGCTGGATCCTCTTCTGCAGGGCAGGGTGGGATGAGGAGGGGTTGTGCCCTCTCACCCGCCAGGCAGCCTGGCCCACGGGCAAGAACTCTGGGCTGGGAGCCAGAAACCCTGGGTCCTGATTCTAATTCTGCAGTGTCGCTGTGCCTCTGCGTGCCTCGGTAAACCGTATCTGTCCAGACGGAAGGGAGAGGACAGACAGGGAGAGGGCACGCACAAAAAGGAAAGAGAGGAAAGTACTCTATGAACACCAGAGAGGAGCAGAAGCAGCAGCAGTCTGCCTGTGGCCATCCAGCTGCTGGTCCTTGAGCCATCAGGGCCCCTCGAGGCTGGCATGGGAGACCACCTCAGCTCCACAGGCTTTATCCCCCAGAGGGGGCACTTACACAGCAGCAGGAAACGAGGCCCTGCGGCAACTGCCAGACCTCTGGGCAAACTCCACCCCCCGCCCCCGCCCGGCCAAGGAGGAGGAGCTGTGGAGGGTGCGGGGCACCCCTCAGTGTAGGCTGCAGTGGGTTGGAGGGATGGTGGCTACGGCAGCAGCCACTAATGCCCCTTCACCCACACCACAAGCAAGCCACTTGGCCACCTGCTCCTGGCAGTCAGCGTCTTCCTTTCCCTGCCTGGTTAGCCTCCTACTGGGGGGAGGGCACAGGCATGGAAGTCAGGCCAGCTCAAGTCCTCTTTCCCCTTCTTCCTAGCTAGTGTGCCCTTGGGCACAGAGTCCGAGGTTCTCTGTCCATCAAACAGGTGCAATATCCCAAGAGAGGATTGATGTGAGGGGTAAAACAAGAGTGTCAAGTGCCAAGGACAGAGTCTGGCACCTGTCAGCTACTCAGCAAAAGGGTGCTCACAAGGGGCGTGGATTGTGAATGGCTCCTTTCAAACAAACTTGGGAGATTCTTGCTTGATGGAGACAAAAGTGAAATGGCCCAAGGTGGGGTGGAGATTCCTATTTTAAAAAGCCCTGCGCGGGGAAAGTGAAGCATGCTGGGGCTGGAAGCACCCCTTTAGGATCTGTCAGGGTCCCAAGACAGAAGAGGGGAGGCAGAATGGCTCAGTGGACCTTCAGGCCCACTCCTGCGGCAGCTGCATCTGGTTGAACCTGAGAGGCTCATGGTCCCAGAGCCTCGAGGAGGACATCTCTCTGGGACTGGCAATGGAGCCAACTGCCAGGGCATGGAGTTCTTTCTGGTACCAAGCATTTTGGACACGGAGTAAATAAAGTCCCTGGACTTTTAGAAACACGGAGAAGTCGGAGCCAGCCGTCACAGACTGGGTGGGGTACCAGCGAGACTGTTTCTGCAGTTTCCAGACAACGGTTCTGGTCTTGGAGGCCTTGGAGAGTAAGTGTCTCGCGGCTAGGTGGCCTACAATGCCACCAGCCTGAAGGCAGGGATGCTGGCTTGGAGAGGAAGCAGCGGGTGGGGCCTCTGAGCCTCCAGGGCATGCTGTGGTGGGAGGGACTCCTCTCCACCCAAGGGAGGGAAGAAACCACAGTACCCCAGAGTCTGCCTTCCTTTGAAGCTGCGTGAAGGATGATAAATTAAGAGGCATATTAAATACGTGGGTAAAGCCAGCAGGGATTCGCGGGACCGCCAGGCAGGGAAGGAGGCGGCTACGGCTTCTTTTTGAGATAGTTGGAAGGAATCCACCCTTCCCAGGAAGGGGCCCCGCTCAGGACCTGGCAGAACCACCAGCCACTGCTGTTCTTTTCCCGGACCTCGAACACCGTCCCCTCCTGGAAGCTGCTGGTATCTCCGTCTCCTTCAAAGTTGGCCACCGCCACGTATAAAGAATCCTTCGGGCCATCAGCGTTGGGGATGGGGCTTGCAGCTACTTTCTCCCTGTTGTCTCCAATCTTGCCCACCATCCGTGGTCCCAGACCACCTTTGCCTCGTATGTCATCTTGGCCGCCTGAGGAGTTGGAAAGAAAAGGTTTGGCTTTAGGAGGGACCAGCAGGGCCCGGCCTGGGGCAGGAGCTGCCTTGCCTTCATTGGCTTCCCGCTGTGGCCCTCTGACCTCTGGGAGGGGCCTGGAGGATGAGGAGGTTTTCTTGGGGGGTGGTGGTCTCCGGGGCAGGACCACAGGTCTCTGCGGGGGAGCCTCTTGGAGAGGGGCAGGCACACTCTTAGGCACAGGATCTGTGGTCTTGGCTGGCCTTGGAGGGGCTCTGCAGGACATCTCCTTTGGGCTGAGCCCATCCTGTTTGCCCGTCCTGTCCTGGGTGTGGCCAGGCCCGTCACCTGGGAGGAAACTCCGGCTGAAGGCCACATCTTGGCCCCCGGCAGCCTGGTGGCTGCTCTCTCCATCCAGTAAGGGCTTCTCTTGGGACTTGGCAGGCCTCAGCTTGCTCCTGAGGTTGCAGATGTCCACTTGATCTTCACCCTGAGGTGGCTCTGTCCTGGGGGAAGGAGCTGGTTTGGGCCTAACCTGAGGTTTGGACTTCAAGAAGGGATTTTGGGGAATAACTTCTGTCTTCTCCTCTGATGGGTCAGCTTTGGATTTGGAGATGGGTCGGAGGTTGGGCTTCTTCACCTCCTTGGCCAATACCTTGTGGCCACACTCCAGCCCCATCTCATTTTTCAGCTGGAACAACTTGCTTTTGTCAGGTTTGGGCTCTGGTCTCCTGCTGTCCCGGGCTGGGGCGGTGTGTTTAGCTGGAATCATTGGCAAAATCATGCCCGGAGGTTTGGGTGAGGAGCCCCTGAGCTGTTCCATCCTCTGCCGCTCCCTCTCCTGCAGCTCCCCTTCTGACTTGATGATGGATTCTTTACGGGGAGGGAGGCTGGGCTTCTCCTCCAGGTCGGGGCTTGAGATCTCTTCGTAGCCGGCACATGAGGACATGTCGGAAGAGGCCTTCCTCAGGGCCTCCTTGCCACCCTTCCACTCTTTGGACCACGGCATCCCGGAGTCCATAGCACCGTGTGGTGCATCGGGCAGGGGCCGGGAGGGGCCGATGGCCTCGCTGCCCGTGTTGTTCTCCATGGCTGCTGCATCCCCCGGATGGAGCTGGGTCACCTCGTTGGGCAGTGGAGCCAGAAAGTTGGGTCTTGAGGCATTGCTGGTCTTCTTATACTTGTCAATGAAGGTTGCTGGGGCCCATCCTTCCTTATCTTCAATCTGAATGTACCACCAGCCGCTCAAGTTTTTCTCGATCACCTGGAGGGGGGAGGACAGAGGAGAGCACTTAGTAGGTGAGGTCTCAGGGCCAGTCAACCAGAAGACTCTGGGAGAACCCACATGGAACTGGAATCTAGAAGCAGGGATTTTTCACTCAGCAGATTCCCAGACAATGGCTGGGATGGACCAACTATGGAGACTTTACTGTGCATCAGAAACATCTTACACGCGGGTAGGTTTTTGTCTAATTTTGGATATCCCCCGAAGCAGTCCTGGAGACACGGACCTGGGTACAGGTAATTAATTTGAGAGGGGATTTCAAGAAGCGCAAGTAAGGAAATGGGAAAAGAGAGAGCCAATTATGAGGTCATTGTTCTGGGCCACTGGGACTTAATCAGCCAGGGACCCTTTGAGACCACGCAGACTCATCCCAACTGGGGGATGGGGCTGTTTACCTCCTGATTCCTAGTCCCTGGCCCCCCTGGGGCATTGATCCCCCTGGCCTTTCTGGGCAGGTGCCTTCAGGCAGGTGGAGGAGATGGGAGGCTGTCAGATACAGGGACCCGTGTGCAGCTGCAGGTCAACTCGGTTGGGTCGGGACACAGGGCAGGCCACCAGCAGTGTCTGCTATGTTTCTAAAGAAGTACAAGGCAAAGTCCACATAGCCAAAGCTAGCCTTGATCGCGGCTCTTTCCGTTGAGCACCAGATGACACAGTTGGCTGGTGTTTAGAGGCCACACAGTACCAAAAATGCCTACCCTTAAACATGGGAATCACATTCAGCTCGTGTTTAGATAGAGGGGAACCCCTGTTGATGAGGGCAAAAGGAACTTTCATCTTATCTCCTTCTCCCTCTGGGATATACACCCACTGAATGGAACAGTGGGCGGAGTCACCCACGAAATTTAAGGTCTCATGTTTCCCGTCTCCTCTTTGTTCAGTACTGTATAGCTGAGTTGCCTGAAAGGTGTGTCTGTCACATGTTACAGGCTGAACTAGGTCCCCTTCAAATTCATATGTTGAAGCCCTAACTCCCATATCTTAGAATGTGACCTCATGTGGAGAAAGAACCTTTCCAGAGGTAATTAAATCAAAATGAGGTCATCTGGGTGGGCCCTGAGCTAACATGACTGGTGTGCTGATAAGAGGAGATTAGGACCCAGAGAACATTCAGAATGAGGGACGACCACGAGTGAACACAGCAAGAAGGCAGCTGCCTCTAAGCCAAGGCCAGAGGCCTCTCAAGAAAACAAACCTGCCACCACTTTGACCTTGGACTTCCAGCCTCCAAAACCGTGAGGAAATAAATCTGTTGTTTAAACCGCCCAGCCTACGCCATTTTGCGACGGCAGCTGGAGCAAATACACCGCGATTCCCTGTGGGCCCCATGCCTACGAGGTCTGATGAAGGCTTGCAACCGCCTTATGAGATGGGGATTATCATCCCATTTTCCAGATGCAGAACTGAGCCTCAGGACAACTGAGGGACTGGTAGAGGGTCATGTGGAAGGTTAACGGTGGAGGTGGGGGTCAAAGGCCTTTACCACTCCTCGACCATGCCCGGGCAAGGGGACCTGCCGGGGGAGGAGCCGTGCTTGAGGTGGGGAAGTATAGGGGGCGAAGAGGGCCTCGGGTGAGGTCCTGCCACTGCCCCCCTCTGCCCCGCCCAGCCCAGCCTGAGAGGAGTGGCAGCCACAGACCCGGCGTAGGAAGCAGAGGCTGAGCTCTGGGGCCTGCAACCTGGGTTCTAGTCCTGGCTCCACCTTTTGTTGCCTGCACGGCCCTGCGCAAGCCGCGTGCCTGAGATTCCACAGCCCGAGGTGGGGAGGCTGGTGAGAACAGGAACACCCACTTGCAGGATTTTCACGATGACCACATAAGCTAACGCAGACAACAGCCCTTGATACATGCTGAAAGGTAAATGTTCCCTGTTATTAAATTACAGGGCGGGGGTGCCTGGGTGGCTCAGTTGTTAAGCATCTGCCTTCAGCTCAGGTCATGATCTCAGGGTCCTGGGATCAAGCCCCGCATTGGGCTCCTGCTCAGTGGGAAGCCTGCTTCTCCTTCTCCCTCTCCCACTCCCCCTGCTTGTGTTCCCTGTCTCTCTGTCTCTCTCTCTGTCAAATAAATAAAATAAAATCTTTAAAAAAAAAAAATTACAGGGCGGATCACTGACAAGGCAGGATGCATGTGACAGGTGTATGCTTAACGTGTCCCGCTGGTTTCCCAGAAAGGGTACTGATAAACGCAAGCCCTTTACGTGACGTCTCCCCACACTCGGTAGCTCTGGTAACAAAGTGATTCTGGGCATGTAAATTACTGTTGGCAGAGCCACAAGTTCAACTCTGGGTATGTGAGAAAATGAAAATAGGACAATAATCACAGGGAAATATATGAATGGGGATTTGCTAAGCTTACACTCTATGCAAATACTACGGCAGAAGCTCTAAACATTTGTGTGGTTTTTTTTTTTAAGATTTTATTTATTTATTTGACAGAGAGAGACACAGCGAGAGAGGGAACACAAGCAGGGGGAGTGGGAGAGGGAGAAGCAGGCTTCCCGCAGAGCAGGGAGCCTGATGCGGGGCTCGGATCATGACCCGAGCCGAAGGCAGACACTTAACGACTGAGCCACCCAGGCGCCCCAACATTTGTGTTCTTGATCACGATTTATGGGAATTTTCATTTACTAGAGAGAAGCCAAGAACTATTATGAATAAAAGCAAATGCCCAATCATAAGAATGGAGGGGAAGGAAAAGAGCCTGGGCTTTAAAACCACAGAGACCTGGGTTCAAATTCCAGCTCCACAGCTTACTAGCTATAGAACCCTTGGCAATGGGCTTTGTCTCAGGTACATCTGTAAAATGGGCTAAAGATATCAACCTCTTGGGACTTCTGTGAATACTAGTTCTCAAGTAGGTACGGTACCTGGCACAGAGGGTATCTATACCAGCATCATCATCATTATCATCAACACATGTCTTGACCATACATAGACCAGGTAGGGAACTAAGATGCTCCCAGTGGCTCCACTGCTAGACCACAGTGGCCCCATTAATGAACTCTGAAGGTTATGATGACATTGAAATGAACCAGGAATCAAAAGTGGAAAAAAGGAAAATTTAGCAAGTACAGAATTGCTCATGAGAGAATACTTGGTAAAGCCAAAATCTTTATTTTTTAAAGATTTTATTTATTTTTATTTATCTGACACAGAGACAGAGATAGTGAGAGAGAGAGCATAAGCAGGGGGGAGTGGCAGGCAGGCAGAGGGAGAGGGAGAAGCAAGCTCTCTGCTGAGCAAGAAAGCCCGATGCGGGGCTCGATCCCAGGACCCTGGGATCATGGCCTGAGCCAAAAGCAGCCGCTTAACCGACTGAGCCACCCAGGTGCCCTGGTAAAGCCAAAAATTTTAGTGGCAACTACGTCCCACTTGGGTCCCTCAAGCTACCACTGGCAGAGCCATAGGCTGACATCATGGAACAATCAGCAAAGAAGTTTCAAGGTTCTGGTTAAAAGAACGCTGGGTATGTGAGCTTTTTTATTGGATTAGCTTTAGCAAAGAGAGATAAGATAAAGTCAGAAATAAAAAAGGGGGGGGCGCCTGGGTGGCTCAGTTGGTTTAGCAACTGCCTTCGGCTCAGATCATGATCCTGGAGTCCCGGGATCGAGTCCCGCATCGGGCTCCCTGCTCGGCAGGGGGTCTGCTTCTCCCTCTGACCCTCTTCCCTCTCGTGCTCTCTGTCTCTCATTCTCTCTCTCTCAAATAAATAAATAAAATCTTTAAAGAAAAAAAAAAAGAAAAAAGGGGATTGATTCTAGTTGAAATGGGGGTGGGGCCAGGAGGGAGACTCCCAACATCCCCAGAAAGCCCCAAGGACCCATGAACTCCCTGCTGCATGCAGACTCAGCCCTCAGCTTCAGCGCATTGTCCACGACATTCTGAGCTGCCCTTGGCTGATTTCAGAACATTCTGAGCCAGGGAGTGGTGGTGCCTATCGGCATATGTTCAGATTGCCAGCATGCTTGGAACAACGGTGTGTGTTTGTACAAAATGCTTAAAGGACAAGGTAGTTTTATTGTGTTTTTCAGTGCTCTGAGGAAAAAAAAAACAAAGTAAACCTTTATACTATGCAAGTTGGACTTCTGGTTTCAACGTGAGAGATGGAGTGAATAGCAGCTTCCCTTTTATCCAACAAATCCAGGGAAATAAATGAATACAAAGCCCAGCTCAGAAGGAGGAGGTGGGGTGGGGTATGTTAGTGGACCAGGACTTGTGAGCACTCACAGATGGACAGAAGCAGCAGAGGGAGGCTGTGTGGCCCAGGACCGCTGCAGGGGTACCTGCTACAAAAGGTGGAGGAAGGCTGAGGGTCCCCCAGACTTCAAGGTGGTGGAACCTGGGTATAGGGAGGTGCAGGAGCAAGTGACAGGGAATGGACTGACATACCATGGCAGAGGCAGACAGGCTGGGTGACCTCTCATGTCGCTTATCCCATTCTTATAGGGCAGGCAGAAGAAAGATGGTGATTGCTCACAAGTGCATGCAGTGAATGTGGGAGCTGGGATCAGAGACACCCAGCACCATTCAGTGGCTGGCTCAGAAGCCCCCCACCTGGCGCTGAAACCCCTGGCAGGTGTCCAGCGTCTTGTGTACACGCCCCAGCTGGGCCGTCTGACTGCTGCCTCGTCTTGCGCAGCCCAAGGTGGGTACTAACGCCATGAGAAGAACTTAAATAAACACCCACGCCGCGGCAAAGGACGTACAGCTGAGAAAAGAGGTAATGGACTATAATAATAGAACCTTAAATTCAACATACTTAGTACCCTTAGAGAGGTATGGAAGGGCATCGCATTCATAAAAGAACAGGCTATGCTGAAACAAGAACAGGCGACCCGGAAGAGGAATCGGTAAGAGCTCTCGGACATGGAAACTACGATTGCTGAGGTAAAATCCGTGACGAACCAAACTGTTAAAGAGCCGACGAATGAGCTAGAAGGTGAAGCAGAATGCTCCAGGAATGCAGCACAAAGGCACGAAGATGGAGAATGTGAAAGAAAAGTTAAGAGACGTGGAGAGTAGGGCCAGAAGGTCGCACAGCTGTGTAATCATAACTGCCCCCGGGAGGAAAGAATAAAGAGAATGAAGGGACACAACTCTGGGAAGGTCTCCTGAGGCCTAGATCAAAAAGGCCCACCACATGCTGAGCAGGATAAAAAGAGACACACTTTACTGAAATTCCATCATATTAAAGATAATGAGGAACTCCTGAGAAAATAGGAGAAAGGACAGATACTGAACAAGACAACAAGCATTAGGCAGGTAGTAGCTTCTGACCAGTAGCAACAGATGTGAGAAGAGAACACAGCACCCTGTTCAAAGTGCCAAGGGAAGAGGACTTTCAATTTGGAAGACAAAACCCAAAACATCACTGAAGAAGGAGGGGAAAACCACACTCACTTCTTATGATGTCAAGAAACCATGTACAGGGGGCACCTGGGTGGCTCAGTCGTTAAGCGTCTGCCTTCAGCTCAGGTCATGATCCCGGGGTCCTGGGATCGAGCCCCACATGGGGCTCCTGGCTCCGCCCGGAGCCTGCTTCTCCCTCTCCCTCTGCCCCTCCCCTCTATTTGTGCTTTCTTCCTCTCTCTCTCTCTCAAATAAATAAAATCTTAAAAAAAAAAAAAAAGTAAGAAAGCAAGCAAGCATGTACAGAAGTGAGGGACTGCCTTCAACTAAAGACTGAGATATATGGCCCCAGAGAAGCCATAACAGGGCAGGCCAGGGAAACCAATGTGAATCAGGGGAGGCTTCACAGAAGAAGCAGGGATTTGAAGAGTAAGTTGGATTTTGAGATGCCAAGTTCAATTCAAAAAATGACCTTGAGTGCCTTCTATGAGAAGGCAGGTGGAGCGCTAGGAGCTGGGTTAAAGCAAGGTCATTCCTGGTAGAGAGAGTAAAAGAGCTGGGGGCCAGCTTGACCAGCGGGGATCGCAGAAAAGCAGCGGGAACAGACTTTGTTTGGAGGAAGGTCTTAGAGGTGAAAAGATATTAAGGAGAAGTCACATGTTTCATGTGAGACTTGGACGTATAAGTTTTACGGCAGCAAAATGGGGGACCTGGGCATAGAATGATCTTGTAGCACGATCAAGATGCCTTGTGAGTTCTCTCTGAAGATTTGAAGTTGGCAGGGTCAGGATGGAAAAAAGAAAGGGCAGGAGAAACACCCTTTTAGAACTTTGTGGGTATTTCTGCTTTCCCCTCAGTCTATCTGCATAGATTGGGATTTACATTTTATAAAAATTAGTTTGAAAGACTTTAGCTCAAGCTCTTTAAACGTCCCTGCAGACAGCCCTCCTTCAATGGGTTGAAAGACACTTGGCTTGGGGACAAGCTTCTGGAGAGACCGGGGCAGAATCAATGGTGACGAGGCCCAGGATACACCTTTAGGAAACTACCTTCTGCTGAGCTGACTGGGCAGCTGGCCCAGGGCATGATGGGAAAGAGAGAGAGGCAGGAGGTGTCAGGGCTGGAGGGAAAACAGTGGGTGCTTTGCAGATCTCTTAGAGAGTGATTAAAGACCCTCAGGGCATACCACACTTATGCGCTGATAACAGTCATCCATTTACTCCTTACTTCCTTCAATCACCCCAACATTCATTCCTACAGCAACGGTTTACTGAGCACCTACTGTGGACCAGCCCCGATGCTAGGGCTCTGGGCAAGAACGAAGACAACACTCGCTGGCCTTGTGAGTGTTAAGCAGGAGGCTAGTGGGCAGACAAATTTTCATCAGTTCAACAATACTTCTTCCAAGCACTGTGCTAGCTGTAAGGACACAAGAGTAGAAAAACAGATATGGTCTCTACCCTCCTGGAGTTCCCAAATGTCTAGCAGATCAGTAACAATAGGATGTTAACACTCCTGGTTCAAATCTGGAGACAGACATGGGTTCAAACCCTGGCTCTGCCACGTTTTAGCTGTGTGATTCTGGACAGCACCTTTCTTCCCGAGCCAAAGCTTCCTCATCTGAAAAATGGGGATTGTTAATGGTCCTGCCTCGCAAGAGTAAAAGATTAAGAGAGAGGCTGTATGTGAAGTGCTCAGTTCAGTGCCTGGCACCTAACCGCTCCACCCTCACTTGCAGGCTCTCCAGGAAACACGGGAAGCAGCCTCTAACTCCATGAGGAAAGAAAAGAAATGGAAGGGGAAGAAAGGATTTATGCTGGCCTTTATGCAGGAACAGAGCAGACTAGCAAAGGAGTGGGAAGAAAAGGAGAGAGAGAAGCAAGAAGGGAAGTAGGTGGTGATAAAAACAGAATACAAGGCGGTCACAAAAGATCCCACAGGGTATGATTCCACTTCCAAGAAATGTCCACAACAGGCAAAGCTATATAGAGAGAAGGCAGATTAGGGGGTGCCTAGGGCTGGGGGCAGGGGGCGGGGAGGGACTGAGGGGAAACAGGGAGTGACAGTAAATGTGTACGGGGTTTCTTTTTTGGGCGATGGAAATGTTCTAACACCGAATGTGGTGATGGCTGCACAACTCCGTAAATATGCCAGAAACCACTGGATTGTATAATTTAAACCAGCAAATTGTACGGTGTGAATTATACCTCAGTAAAGCTGTCACAAAGAATGGAAGGAAAGAAGGAAGCAAAGAAGGAAGGAAGGAAGGAAGGAAGGAGGAAGGAAGAAGGAGGAAGGAAGGAAGGAGGAAGGAAGAAGGAGGAAGGAAGGAAGGAGGAGGTGAGAAGAGAGAAACGAGAGAAGCAGGAGGTGGTGCCACGGCTCAAGAGTCACAGTAGGCAAAGGGATACCAGGTCCACTCACCTCGACCTTCAGACCTGCCTGGAAGCTGATGCCATCAGGGATGGTTGTCTGGAATTCAGCAATGGTGTAATACTCTTCCTCCACCTGGGGTGGAATGGGAGGCTTGGGCAGGTTGAGACCACGAGGCTGGCACAATTAAACACACTGCTAAGTCCAGGGTAAATCCGTTACCATTGGCTGAAGGCGGGAGGCGCTAAGGGACTGGGGCACGCAATCACCCTTGAAGGGTGCTGCTGGACCCATTTGGATTCTAAGGGACAAAACACAGAGGACCACTCAGATCATCCTCTCCTAGATGGGTCACTGGCCCACCACCTACCGAGCGAGGAGAAACATGGGACGTTTACTGACAATCATGAAAATCTGAGGCGGGACAATAGTCTCTGAACTCAAGAGGCAGCGAGGGTTGTGGAAAGAACATAGATTTGCAGGTCAGACCCATCCTGGTCCAACCCATTTCCAGGGTTGGAAATACTGCTTTATGTGTGCTGTGCGCCTTTGGGCAAATCACTTTCCTTCTGGAGCCTCAGTTTCATCTCCTGTAGAATGGGGATTTACCTGGTGGGTCACTATAAGCATTCAATAAGTTAATGTCATGAAGCACCCACCCAGTACATTGCAGGGCACCCAACTGATGCTTAATAAATGGTAGAAGGCTCATTTTTCAAAGTATTGGTTAGAAAGGTATCTGAAGAATGAAAATGGAGTTTGACAGTAAGTTACCAGAATGGCACCACAAGCAATATTTGTGCACGATCCGAGCTTAGGTTTCAAGTTACCTTCTTTGATCCAAGACAAAGCAAAGTGAGCTCAGGAAGCAGAGAGCACGTCTGAGACCTAACTGTCCCAAAGCCATAGATAGGTAACTTGCTTCCCCCGCCCCGGGACCCTAGCCTTTCCCCTGGGGCTGGGACCAGCGCTCGTACAGCCTGCTTCATGAGGCAGCTGTGTGGAGAGGCAAGAGAGCGTCTCTGGAAAGAGCACGGTGGTTGTGAGGGGCCCGTTTCAGGTCAAGGGCTGGCTTCCCGGCAGCAACGGTCCACTTACTATGGTCATATCCCGGCGAGGAGGCGGTCTCTGCCTCATCTTGGGCGATCCTGTAGAGAGATGAGATCTTATTGCACACAGGTGCAGAATTCTACAGATGCAGTTCCTGAGGGGGACACCAGGAAAGACCCGTTCTGTCCTGCAGAGGCTCAGGCATCACGCTCCGGGCTGGTATCAGTGAGCCGCTGAGACCCTTCTCGTGGGAAGGAACAGCCTGACCGGGAAGGGGCTGCTCACACTTGGCTCAGGACCCTCGGGACTGCCCATGCGCTGGAGCCATGAGAAGCTTTCCACGGAGGCCGAAAAGCGGAGGCTTCAGTATAACCCGGGGGCTGGCATGCCACCAGTCATCTGACTCTGACCCACAGGCCCCATCTGTAGAAGGGGGATAATGCTGGCCCCCCAGGGGCAGCGCAGAGATGAAAGTCAACAGTACGTACCAGGCGCTTGGCACCTGGAGGGCGTGCAATATTAAACAGACTGAGGACATCGGGGCTTTTTGCTCTGGAATCGGGCTGCCCTCGCTCAGGGTCGCAGCGTCAAGAGGATGACTGCAGTGGTCCAGGCTCCTGGCTCAAGGCAGAGCATGTGTCACCCCATGAGCTGGCTCAGCACGAGTCCACACAGACGGCTAGTTTGGCAGCTGGGACGTGGAGAGGACTGCTAATCTCTCAAATACCCATCTCCTCTGTCTTCTGTTAGAATTCAATAGCAACAGAGTTTTAGCCAGACACTTAGCTGCTACAAAAAGGCTGCATTTCTCAGACTCCCCTGCAGCTAGGTATTGCCCTGTGACTCAGTTCTGGCCAGTGGGATGTGACAGAGGGCAAAGTGTGTACCTCTGCTTCCCCCTGCCTTTTTCATCGGCTGGACGAGTGGGGCGCCATCTTGGACTAGAAAGATGAGGGAAACACAAGATAGACAGCATGTAACAAGACTCTTGACTCATGGAGGTTCCATAGCAGCCCTGGACATGGAGCTAGACCACTTTGTGAGAAAGAAACAAACACCTAAATTATTTGAGCCCCTGTTATTGGGTGTGTGTGTGTGGAAGGGGGAGGGGCAGTATCTTTGCTTGAGCATCTGAACCTATATCCTCACGAGGACGTGGGGTTTCAGAGTCTCATTTGCGCTAGCGTTAATGGGAATCCCCCTGGGCTCTTGTCCGTGAGAGAACCACAGAAAGCAGGGGCTGGCCAGAACTCCCCCCACCATGGCATGTCAGTGTTTTCTTCTGAGAAATCAGCTGAGCAGAGGACTGAGAAATTCTTGAGTTTCAAGAATTCACTGACTTCTAGCAGTTTTCTGAGCCACTGTAAATAGCTGGAGAAGCCTAGCAGAAGCCTAGCCAGGGGGAGGGCAGGGGACTTTCCCAGCAGTCGGCACCTCCCCCCCCGCCCCAGCACAACCAACCAGGACAGGGCTACATGCCTGGGGTCCTGTGCAGGTCGCAGACAATAATGAGGAGGCCTACTCTTAGGTGTGTTGGGAACATTAAACAGAAACAGATACATGGGAGGCTGTGGAAAGGAAGATGGGTGAAGAACTGTGGTTAGAGTAAATCAACACAAGGTCAACTTCTTCTGGCTCAGAAGTGAGGCCATGCAGAGAGGGCACAGGCACTGGAGTCACGAGGGCCTGGGTTCAAGTCCCAGCCCCACCGTTTACTAGCTGGGTGGCCCTGGACAACCCCCCTAATGTCTCTGGGTCCTAATCTGTAAAACAAAAGTAATTTAGTCCCTCAAAAGTCATTACAAGGAGCCAATGAGACTAATTATAAGATTCCCGACACACAGTAGGGCTTGAGAAACAGCAGCTCTCTCGATCACCATGAGATGGTGGAAAAACCATGGTGTAGATTAAGCTGCCTAGGATTTCTTGTCTACAGGATGTGGGGCAGCAGGGCTGTTGTGAGGATGAGGGACAACATGTGAGGAGCTCTGAGCATGGAGCCTGGCACGTAGTAGGCATGCAGCCCCCCAAGCACGAGCTTGGTGGGGTTGCGGGGGCAGGGGGTGATCACTCACTCTGCTTGATGTCGCCGTCGGGCACCGGGCGGCCTTCAAATCGGCCGTCCCTCTGGTTGTTGAGCAGCTCCCTGTCCCGGCCCACTGAGCTCTGCTGCCGGGAAACTCCGTCCAGGTCGGGGATGCCGGTGTGGGCTGAGGAGCCAGGGCCCAGCTTCGGGGGTAAGGGCTCCCCACTGTTCTTCTTCAGGTAGGAGGCTGGGGCCCAGCCCTCTCTGCCCTGGTACCTGGGAGGAGGAAGGATGCTGGAGAGGCTGCTCGGCCAGGCCCCTGGGAAGAAGCTGGGCTTCACGTCCCAGATGGCAGAAGTGATGGGCCAGAGGCTGGTACACCCCTTGCTGCCCTCAGCTTGGCATTCAAGGCCTTTCCAACCCGGCCTCTGCCGGCCTCCCAGCCTCATCTCTCACAGCAACCTCCATGTCCTTCCCACCCCATAAGGCTTGTAGTCTCCCAAATGCACCACCATCTTTCACTTCCCCAGCCTCTGCTCTTGGAAACCCTGTGTCAGGAAAGCCCCTTCCCACTCTCCTCCCCGCTCTTCTTTCCCAGCTCTGCTTAATGTCATTTCCTTTCTCAAGCTTTTCCTGAACCTCACAGAGAACGAAGCCCTCCCTCCACAGTGCTGCCCTGCCTCCTGCACACACCACCACCCCAGCACCTATGACACACGGCGACGCTTGGCTACGCGGTTCTGTCTCCCCAGTATGAACACACACGCCTGGGGCAGAGATGGCACTTGATCGATCTCTGTGTGGCGAGAGCCTCGGGGCCAGTGAATGGAACGAAGAAATAAAAGGACAAATGGACAATCTGCCCACGGGCCTGGCAAAGGCGAGCAGCCATAAAGCACCTGCTACGCTCGCTGTCCTGTTACCGTCACTGCAGCAATGACAATGATGACAATGATAACTGGCACTTAGTGGGCACCTCCTGTGTGCCAGTCTGTTCCAACCACTTTATAGCTGTGGACATATTTCATCCACCCAACCCTGAGAGGCGGCAGAAATGGATTCAGACCTAGTCTCTGCTCCTAACCTCTGCGTGTCGCTGCCTCTTCCCAGCAGCCCCAGCTTCTGGCACAATGCCTGGCACGGGCAGGGCGGGCTCCGGTCACATGGGTTAACAAGTAGATTAAGCGTGTTCCCTTAAGAGGGGAACGAAGCCAGTCAGGGTCTGGTTGCAGGGCTTGCTAAGAATCAGCTGGCGGTCCCTGAACTGCACAGAGCCCGAGACCCTGACAGACAGCTCACTGAATTCCAAAGGAACTCAATGAGTGAGATGATCACTTAATTCTCTGCACAACGGAGCTCAGTTTAACAGCATGACCGGAGGGGTCAATCTGGACCAGAGGAGTGCTGGAGCCCACTCGCACCAGCTCGTGACAGTCAACTGTGTCCATCTCTTCCAAACCCCACAGTTACAGACATTGCACGGATGGCCTGAAATCACCTGATGGGAGTATTTACACCTACAGAAATTGGCAAACACCACAACTCAAGGGCAGCATTCCCTTGGAGAACTGGATGCCACTGGTCTGACCCACAAAACAGGTGCCCACGCCTTTGGGGACAGTTAAATAGACCTAAATGACTGGAGATGACATATGGCAAGGCCAAATCTCTTGTCAGGAATCACTTTAAGAACTAAATGGCACTGTGTTTCGATGACAAAAAGGTCCTTTATAACTGGAAGCCAATTTCTAGGAGAGAGAAATCTGCAGAATTTGATGTCTTTCAATCTTAAAATACCCTCTGAGAGGGAGTACATCTTGTCCTCGCTGGAAAACGTCACGCCACATCCGACCCAGGCCCCTGTCAGTACCAAACAGCTGACTGTCTGAGGTCGCAAAGCCGTAAGCACAGCAACACACACAGAAGTGAGTGGCTCTGGGTGAGAAAGGTTCTAGTTTAAATCCGTGCTCTGTCTCTTTCCAGCTTCAGCTGAACCTTCAGATGATGGCACGCCTCACTGACGTCCTACCGCAACCTCACCAGGGACCCAGTGAAACCACTCCTGCTTCAAACCTCAGTTCCTCAGCAGCCCCTCTCAGGAAGCCTTCCTGACCCCTCGGCTGAGGAGCCCCTCTTCTGTGCTCCAGATCCCCACACATGACCACCCTGCCCCGTAACTGAGCCTGATTTCTGTGCCTCTGCTGTGAACGACTGTGTCTTTCTCATTGTCGACTCCCCAACTCCCAGAATAGGGCTTGGCCCGGAACACATTCTTGGTGTGTGTGTGTTGAGTGAATGAACGAAGTGCCACAGGCTTGGCCCCCTAGTGGCCCTAATGCCCTGCCTCACATCACTGCACAGACAACCAGGTCCCAGGGACCTCAGGCTTCTTTCCTTGCCCTAATTTCTTGTGGCCACAGCCGCCTACTAAGGTGACCAAGGAGGGGTGCCCAGGACTTTCATTACCAAAATTGGGAAAGTGCCAGGCAGGCCAGAATGAGTTGGTCACCTTACGTAATTGTGGGGTGCTGATTCATCACGTGGGTGAAAGAGCTGTGACAGAGAGCTTGAAAGCCAGTCTCCTGCTTTTACTATTGGATTCTGAGATGAGGACACATGATCAGCTCGAGGATGAGTTACAGTCCCTGTGGTGTTATGCATCGTACTGGTCTCAGAGTAGGGCTGGGGTGGGAAATCGTCCACACAGGGCAGCACAGCTTCTCCTTATGAGAAACACATGGAGGTAGAAACCAGTCTTGCTCAACGGGGTTACTGCCATCTGTGTGTTTGGAGGTTTTGCTTATTATGGAATTTTAGAGAAGGATCTGGATAGGGAGCGAGGCCAAAGGGCACTGAGGAGAAGCATCCTTTTATGGCTCAGGTGAAAACCTTACCCCATCCATCTGCAATCACATACAGACCTCTGGGCACCCAGAGACCGTGTGACCTGAAACCCACCCAGCTGCAGCAGGTACCTGATCTTCCACCAGCCTTCCAGGTTTTTCTGGATGACCTCCACCACAGCCCCTCTCTCTAGATTCATTTCATCCTGGTCGCGAGCTGTATACGGGTAGATGACTGTGTACTTCTCCTCTGTGGGAACAAAGGGATGCTGGGTTAAGTCAAGGACCGTGAGAGCCCATTGAGATGCTGATGGCCAAGGCTATGATCCAAGAGATGCCTTGCCCATCAGAGGGAAGGATTTCCCCCAGAAATTTCTGGGGACCCTCTAGACCCTCATTTGGGTCTGGATGACCCTGGGCAAGCATGAACAGGATGCAGGACAAAGGTCAGGTCCCAAACCTTCTGAAATCCCTCAGTGTCACACATTCATCCTCACCTTCCTCAAAGCTGTGCTTCAAGGTCACCTTCCTGGACCTTGCTTTATGCAGTATTCAGACCCACGGCATCCTCAACCCCCTTACCTAGGTTTATTTTCTCCCCCATACCAGGAATTGCCTTCTAACACAGCATACGATTTACTTATTTATTGCATTTTGTGTCTGTGTTCCTTGCTAGAATATAAACGCCATGAAGGTAGGGATTTTTTCTGTCTCATTCATTCCTCTGTCTCTAGCACTGGGCATGGCACCGGGAATACTGTGTAACTGTTTAGTTAAGTAGTCAATGTTTAGGAAAATGAAGGACCTGGTGAGAGCCACCTTGCTCATGCCAGAGGGGGTTAACTCTTCTGTGGCTCTTCCACAGTTCCTGCTGGTAGAGGGGTCAGGGATGAGCTGGATTTTTGGCAGCACATAGTTTCAGGCTGAAATCACTATCAAGGGGGTGACAGCAAGTAACTTTCTTTCTTCTTAAAAATTTTTAAAAGATTTTATTTATTTATTTGAGAGAGAGTGAGAGAGAGAGAGAGAGAGAATGAGCAGGGGGAGGGAGAAGCAGACTCCCCGCTGAGCAGGGAGCCTGACATGGGGCTCCATCCCAGGACTCCAGGATCATGACCTGAGCCGAAGGCAGACTCTTAGCCGACTGAGCCACCCAGGCGCCCCATCTTTCTTTTATTTTTAATTTTTAAAGCAATCTTTGTTACCTAGCTGATAACTGATCTTGGTTTTTCATTAATTATTTTCATGCCCCTGGATCCAACCATGCCTGAAGCTTCAATTTTATTTTGAATGTTTCGGGTTTTTTTATTGAGGTGTAATTGACATTTAACACTGTCTCAGTTCTAAGTGTGCACATCATGATTTTATATATAAACACACACACATATATACATATATACACATGGTAAAATCACTGCCTGCTTCAATTTTCATTAATGTAACTGGGGTGCCTTCCACCTCACTCTCCGTGGTTCCCCACTCTTTCCCCTCCAAGCCACGGGACTGCTGCTCAGGCTCTGCTGGGAGACAATGCAATTGTCACACTCCGGCAGGGTCTTCGCGAGAACGAGAGAAGAGCTCCTGTGCTCCACCCTGTCAGCAGTCACTGCTGAGACAGAACGGACGCGTATCCCAGCCGACACGGGCAAGGAGAGGAAAGGGCTTTCCTGTTTTGGTTACATTCCAGCCCCCAGGGAGTGACTGAGCCAGCTGTGGGCTGTGGGTGTTGACGGCAGGTCTCTCTCTGGGAAAACACCACAGGCTGCCTGTGGCCTGTCCAACTGGTGTCGAGGGAGGCGGCAGACACAGGGGGAGTTTATTTATTGATTGATCTAGCCCACTGACCTGCTCTGTGGGGGCTGAGCTGACTCGAGTTACACAGATCCCATGTACAGCAGAGCTGTTTCCCTCACTCGTGGTGGCTGCAGTGTGGGGTGTGGGAGCTGTGAGGGTGCAGGGGGGTCATTCAAGCCCGCAGATGCACGGCAGTTTTATTTGGTTGGGGGGGAAGGGGTGCTGCCTGGGTCCTAGACTAAATATAGGCAGTCCTGTGGGCCCTGGACTCCCGTGGGGCCCGATCCTTCAGCTGAATTACACAGGGAGAGTCTCTGGCATCCGGACAGTCTCCCTGGGCTCCATGAAACACTCAGCGATCCTTAACAAAGCTCAAGGTGGGAGACCATGCCGACTGCTGGCAGGTGCCTGCTGACCCTGCCTGCTTTGCATCTGTCTGCTCTTCCTCTGCTGGTGCTACCAGCCTCTGTTGACACAGTCTGGGTAAGGTCGACCTCACCACTGCCTGGGGGAGCGGGAGCACGCATGACCCTGCCCTGGCCAAAGTGCTGTATTCCCCTGGCCACTGTGATGGGTTCAGGGACAGCATGTGACCCAGGCAGGTCAGTCAGCCCCAGTCCTAGGCCTTGTGTTGAAGAAGCACTTCCTTGGGTGGGTATCCCTGAATCCCTGAAAGGTACCTGGAACTGTTGTCACAAGAAAACAGTGTCAGCAAGGCAGAGAGCAGAGCAGTGGTGGGGAGAGTGAGTCCCAGGTCCCGGCAACGTTTTGAAGCCCCCGGATCCAGCCATGCTTGTAGCTAGTCCTTCCCCGGACTTCTCAGGGATGAGTTAGTACACTTTCCTTTTTGCTTAGGACAGTTTGACATGACTTTCTTTTCCTTATAATGTGTCTGATGACAGAAACAGGTCACTGGCTCAGCATTAGAGAGGCCCCAGGCATTATTTTTTAACCTGGGAAACTTTAGAGCCCCAGGCTGAGAAAGACTGCCCAGACCTACATGCCAACACGCACAGGGTACAGACAAGGTCAGTTTCTCACATGCAACAGGCACGGGCAGTCCCCGAGCAGGAAGGCACATGCAGATGCAAGGACCCGGCTCCAAACACCGACCAGGGAAGAAAACCCCAAGGTAGGCACCTTGACGCCAGCTGATGGCATACAAGTCCCCCAGAGTCCGGCGGCGGCCCACGGGCCGGGGCAAAGACCAGTACCTCCACGAGACTGGACAGGCAGCATGTGGAGGTGAAGGGCAGAAGGCAGAGGTGAGGAGAAGGCACTTCCAGTGTCTGGAGGCAAAGGGGACACCAAGCACGTGTTCCCATTTAGGAGTAATTATTTCTGAGCCTATGCCAAGCCCCAGGTGTCTTAAAAGGACCAAGCTCTTGAGTATTAACCTTGGACTTGGGTGCAGAGGCCACCAGTGGACATAATTCTATTCCTAGCGCGACTTACAAAGAGGCACTAAGAGAAGCCCTTGTGTCAGGGGGGAAGAAAAATGTACAGACTTAGGAAAATGTGGTCTCTCTCCTATCTTCTAGCTGTGTGACCCCAGGCAGGTGTCTCTACCTCTCTGGGCCTGTCTCCTTATCTGTAAAATGGGGTTAATCATCAATCCCTTACAGAGGGATGCCCGTAATGCTCATCATTAACTGTCAAAGGGAGCTACAGTTTCAATGCAGTGTATCACAACCCCTGAATCTGAGTTGATTCTTTTAGTTGGCCCAGCCCCTAGTGCCTGGAGGGCCCCACAAAACTGAGCAAACCAACAGACGTTTTACTCTGAGGGGTGCTGGCCCTCATAACACTAAATGCAAAGCCATATATACATTTGTTTGTTAACCTTTGAGCACAGAAATATCCCCCTTCTTCTCACCCTCTTTCCTGATAAGCACAGAAAGTGGTTTTGTGCTTTCCCCCAAACAGCCAAAAGCCCCAAATGCTCAACCCTGGGTAAGGCATAGCTATATATTAACTGTTCCTGGTTATTTGTTGTTTCAGCTTCTCTGGCAAATGCTTTGCATATGGAATCTCATTTAACTAAGAAAAAAAAAATCCCATGATATAGACATCATCATTTCCATTTTTAGAGGAGGGAGCTAAGTAGGGACAGGTTAAGCTGCTGGCCCTACTCAGCCCATAATGGTGCAGCTGATTCACATTCAGGTCTGTCTGGCTCTCAAAACCTTCTGTTCATTAGCTAAGATGAACTCGTCCTCTGGTTTCAGGAATGCTCCTAGTGGGGAAATCGGGAGTCAGTTGGGTGGTAGTATTTCTGGCTTTGCAGGAACCACCCTTCGGGACACCTGGCGGGTACGTTCTCCTAGAAACGGAAGTGTGTGTGGGTAAGTGGATAGGGTCGGCCCTAATCCTGATGCCCAGTCTGAGTCACTGAGAAAGCACAGATGTTTATAGAAAGCTTCAGTTGTCTTGCAAATGAGCTGGTAGGAGCCCCAGCATCCTGGCCATCAGAATAGTTCAAGGGAAGAATAGTGAGGTGCTGACAGTGATCAGGCTGGGGCCCTCCTGGGGTCCCATGGAGGTGTTAGGGCCCCAGCTCTGGCCAGGCTCACCTGAGTTGGCTCCCAAAAGCCCCTAAGAAAGGGCAGGCTTGCCGTCAGCCCCAACCCCACGGCCTGGCTTCATGTCCTGAGCCAGCGAGCCACTGAGACTTGGGGGCAGAGGCTGAAGAGCAGGGACGGGCTGGGTAAGGAGGTCCCTACATGGGTGATGGGACCAGCACAGGTCTCTCCGGCAAGCGCAAGGCTCCAGCTCCTTCCTACCTTCTTCGGGCTGAAGGGAAAACTCATCCTGCATACCGTCCTGCCCTTCCAGGCAGGTTGCGGGGACCCAGCCTTGCTCTTCGGCAGTGCTGACGAACCACCAACCTGGGAAAACGAGAGAGCAGACTGAGGTTAGTTGGGTTAGGTGTGAAGTCTGGGGGTCGGAATACAGTAACATGTTCAGCCACTACATAAGTCAACGCTCAGGGTAGGGCGAGAAAGTCGCCATTTTATTGTGGAACACAGCTCCCCATGTTAACTGCTCAGGGCCACCTAACAAGAAACCCACTCCTGAGTCTGGGACAGGGGACAGAAAGGTCGTCCTGAATGACGAGAGTAAAGAACGTAGCTATCTGCACTAAGGTATGCAAGGCACTAACCATTTTACTTGCACTATTTTGTCTAATTTTCACATTATCATCCCCATGGCACAGATGAGGAAACCTAGGCTCTAAGAAGTGAGTAGACTTGTCCAAGTTCACACGGCTTAGGCAAGAGCTGCTAGGTACACCCAGGGCTGTCTGATGCTGAAGCCACTGTTCTAATGACTTGGCCGAGACACTGATCGTGCATTTGCTCACGTCAGGGTCAATCTGGCTGCAGTGTAACTGCCTGAGAGGCCTCTCACCCAGACCCACAGGCCCTCCTTCTTTAGAGAAAGAGCTCGTACCCTGTGGTGGGCAGAATCATGACTCACCAAAGATGTCCATGTCCTAACTCTCAGAACCTGTGAATATGGTAAATTACATGGCACAGAGGAATTCAGGCTGCAGGCGGTGGGATTAAGGTCGCAAAGCAGCCAAACTAAAATAGGGGGCTATCTGGGATGATCTGGGTGGGCCCCATGTAATTACAGGGAGGGCAGAATAAGAGTCGGGGGAGACGCGGCTGCAGAGGAGACAAGAAAGGGGCAGCACGGCTCTGAAGACGGAGGCAGGGACCGTGAGCCAAGGGATGGGGTGGCCTCTAGACACTGGAAAAGGCAAAGACGCAGGTCCTCTCCACAAGCTGCAGATGGGAACTCAGCCTTGCCGACCCCTTGATTTTAGCCTCGTGGGCCCCATTTTGGACTTCTGACCTACAGAACTGTAGGATAATTATGTTGTTTGAAGCCACTAAGTTTGTGGTAATTGGGCACAATGGCAATGGTAAATTAACACATGGCCCAAATGGCTCTGCACAATATAAATGGAAAAACAGGATCTGGGGGCACCTGGGGGGCTCAGTTGGTTGAGCATCCGACCCTTGGGTTTGGCTCGGGTTATGATCTCAGGGTCCTGGGACGGAGCCCCACACTGGGCTCCACACTCAGCGGGGAGTCTGCTTGGGATTCTCTCTTTCTCCTTCTGCCACTCCCCCTGCTCACATGCGTGCTCTCTCTCTCTAAAATAAATAAATCTTAAAAAAAAAAAAAAAAGGAAAAAGAAAAACAGGATTTGTTCCCCAAGGTCACACAGCTCCAAGCCCTGGACACCCCAAAAAAGAAGAGAAGGAAGGGGCAGACTACTGAGCAGGCTTCCTGGTCTTACAGGGAGGCCTTTGCTTTTGAACTCCCTGAAGTGGAAGTCAGCTGCTTTAATCAACTGGACACTCCTTTTAAAATATAAGTTTTGGGAGGGCGCCCGGGTGGCTCAGTCGGTTAAGCATCTGATTCTTGGTTTTGGCTTAGGACATGATCTCAGGGTCGTGGGATCGAGCCCTGCATTGGGCTCCATGCTTGGAAGGGAGTCTGCTTGGGATTTTCTCTCTCCCTCTCCCTCTGCTCCCCCCCCAACTCTCTCTCTCAATAAATAAACAGATCTTAAAAAAAAAAAAACAAAATACAAGTTTTGGTGGCTGGGAACTGTGTGTGTGTGTGTGTGTGTGTGTGTGTATGTGTGTGTGTGTGAGTGAATGGGGTGGACAAATCCAGAAACTAGAAGGTATGTCATATGTCTTCCTAAGAACTCTTATTTGTAGGTATTTGTGCGGGGGTTAAGCAAACTGTCACAATAGAACAACAATGACAGCAAGGTGCGCCAGATTGGGTCAGCGCTTCACATCTGCTACTGACAGGCTGGATCCTCACACTAGCCCTGGGGCGGCCTGTGACTGCCCCATTCTCCAGATGAGGAAGCTGAGGCTCAGAGAGAGGTCACAAGGAAAGCGCCAGAGCCAGGATTCAGTCCTAGGCAGTCCTAGCCTCAAAGTCTCAGTTCTCAACCATCTGCCCTAATCCCTCCTTGTTGCTAGGGGGAGAGTAAATTGCCATGGCCAGTTTGGAGGCAGGTCATTTGGCAGTATCTTAAAATTCAAAATATGTGTACCTGTTGTTCTGCACTATGTCTTGTATCTAACCTAAAGAAACACTCACCAGTGCGCATGCATACACTGTTCACGCAAGAGAAAAACATGGTTTATTCAGATCAAATAGTATGCAGCTGTTGAAGGAATAAGAAGAGCTAAATATTGACTAAAAAGCAGGTTGCAGATCAAAATGATCAAAATGTAACAGAGTGATACCACTGGGGTTAAAAAAACTACAAAATTATATCAACACAGGCAAAATATGGTGTGTGCATAGGGTTCTGTATCTACACATGTGCACACGTGTAGACATACAGCCCACATACAAACACACGTGTATACATGCATATGCATGAAGACACACACACACATATATGCGTATGTGTTTATACAATTATCAAGAAGGATTCATAGTAAACTGAGAGAAGGTCTATCTGGGGTTTGGAAAGCGGGCTAAGGTTGAATGAAGCCAGTGGAAAGAACAGATTTTAACTTTATCATTAATGTTTTAAGAAGAATGTGTCCACATATTACTTGGGTCAGTAAAATATAATTAAAAATAAATGTTGCCAGTTTGTTGGCCATTGGAAGATGGGACCTTCTGCGGGGCCCCATTTCCTCCACTGCCTCTGGACATACCAGGCTTCTCCTCAGCAACCCCATCCCAGCTCCTACTCTTCTCCCGGCAATGTGTTCTTCCCGACTTCAGGCACACAGGCTGCTGGGGGGCAGGTAGAGGCTGCCTTCCTTAGTCCCTGCGGGGCATGCTAGCCACACCCATAATCTGCATATACTCATTCCCAATAATTAGATCATCTGCATATACTCATTCCCAGGAATTAGAGTGTCACATGGCCTCGGAGCCAGCTGGAACTGTTTGGAATTCTAGCTCTGTAACTTGTCGTGAGATCTTGGGTGAGTAAGCACGGTACTCGGAGTCTTGTTTCTTCAGCTGTGACGCGGGGATGGCAGTTCCTATATTAATTAAAGAATTTGGTTGGCTAATGCTGATCTCATGACTAATGGTAACATGATCCAGATGCTGCTGCAAACATAGTCTTTCCTATTTCTTGGCCCATAACTAGCCACTGGGGTGTCACAGAGATTGGCCTGCTAATGATATTATTAGGCAATGTCACATTTTAGGCACAACAAAGCCAGTGGGTTTATGCCACTTTTTCCTGGAGAGAATCTGCTCATGCCCTACTCCTTGCTCTTTGCCTTCAGTGGTGCCAGTGGTTGCTTTGTGGCCAAGGAAGGCAAGAGGAAAGGAAACCCACATTCCTGAGTACCTACGGTGTGCCGGGCCTAGGTGTAGGCACACTCTAGGTAGCATCTCATTTGATTCTTATAACAGTTCTTTGAAGTAAAAGCTTTCTCTATTTTCTATTTTTTTAAAGATTTTATTTATTTATTTGACAGAGAGAGAGACAGCGAGAGCAGGAAAACAAGCAGGAGGAGTGGGAGAAGGAGAAGCAGGCTTCCTGCTGAGCAGGGAGCCTGCATGCAGGGAGCCCAGTGCAAGTCCCGATGCGGGGCCCGATCCCAGAACCCTGGGATCATGACCTGAGCCGAAGGCAGATGCTTAATGACCGAGCCACCCAGGCGCCCCCCTGTTTTTTTCTCTTTGAAAGATTTATTTATTTATTTTTGAGGGAGGGGGGTGGAGGGGTGGAGGGAGAGGGAGAAACAGTCCCAAGCAGACTCAGGGCTGATTGCGGAGCCTGACACAGGGCTTGATCCTATGACCCCCCGAGATCGTTATCTGAGCCAAAACCAAGAGTCGGACACTCAACCGACTGCATCACCCAGGTGCCTTGAAGCTTTTTCTATTTTGCATATAAGAGAATGGATGGCCAGAGAGAAGCAGCAAGCTGGACTGTGTGAAATGCAGAGTTCAGATGGAAACTCAGGCTAAGTGTCTGATCATACCACCTTCTGTCCCAGACCTGGCCAGTGTACATGACCAGGGGTCCTTGTGATGACAGGTGGGCTGAAGAGACAGGTGATGTGTCCATCCCACCATAGCCTATTCAACTGATGGAGCTTTCACGAAGACTCCCACGGTAACCAAAGGCAAATTTCCAGTGGAATGCTGGACTCCATGTCTCCAAGTGCTTTGAAACCAGAAGACACATTCATGAAAAGCGACCCTCAGAATAACTCAGTAAGAACTGACCCAACAGGATGCTGGTGAGTTGTGACCAAGTGGGATATTTGAGCCCTGTGATGAAACAGAGGTAGCTTTCTAAGAGGGTATCAGCTGGATCTGGGGAAACTGCCCGGCTCAGGTCAGCCACTGCAGTTTCTGTGTTTCCAAATATCTCCTGTCCTAGGGGCTTGGTGACAGTGTAGGGCAGGGAGCGAGGTGGCTGGTTCCTCTACCTGACTCGTTCTTCTCGATGATGTCCACCACCTGCCCCACGCTGAGGCTGATCTCCGAGCTCTCCTGCTTCTGGTAGTCTGCCACCACCACATACTGCTCCAGGACCATGGGGTCCACCGAGGTCAGGTCACCCCCTGTGGATATAAAACCTTATCAGATGTCACCTCTAGCCACCACCCCACACGTGAAGGAGCAGGAGCCCGGGGAGTAGGGTGGGTCAGGAGAACACTTCAAAGAGAGAAAGAAGCTATTATAGGACTTATCTCACCTCATCTATTCATTATTTTCTTAATTTGCTCATCCAACCACCAAAATCTATCAAGTGCCTATTCAATGCAGACACTGTGTGAGCCACTGGGGATTCAGAGTCGGTCAAGATTATGGTACCTGCCCTGAAGAAGCTGACGGCCTAGTGGGAAAGTGCATTCACTTGTATCAATCTTCCCTTCCATCCATTCATCCCTCTGCCATTACTCATCCACCCATCATCCATCCATCCATCCATCCATCCATCCATCCAAAAATCACTCATCTATGAATTCATGAAGTCACCAGTGATGTTCCAGACACTCTCTTAGGTGCTGGGGGGGGACTAAAGTGAATGAAACAGATATGATTCCCAGTCTCAAGTAACTTCATCTAGTTGGGGAGACAGACACATGAACAGATCTATATAATCATAAGTATACAGGATAAGGTAAGTATTGGTTTTTGATAGCTGCATTGCTGGAGACAACCTGGGATGCTGGACCAAGAATGACTGGGAAAGGGGAATGTCACATTCAATGGGGTGGTCAGCAAGACCTCCCTAAGGAGGGGACATGAATAGGAGACATGAGAAAATGGGGAAAGAATGATGCAGGCAGACTCTCAGACAGGAAGGGGCCTGGGAGGAGGCCAGGGGGCTGAGCCCAGTGAGCGAGGAGAGCAGTCCTATATGAGGACACACAGCTGGGCATGGGTCAGAACAGACAGATAAGAAGTTTGGATTTTTTTTTAACCCTCAAGGAGAAAGCCACTAAAGGCCTTTAAGAGGGAATGATAAGTGCAGATTTACATCCTTAGAAAGATAATTCTGGCTGCCACATGGAGCGTGGATTAGAGGCCGGCAAGAAAGAAAGCAGGTGACCAGATGGGAGGTCATGGGTTTGTCAGGCAGGAGACGATGGTGGCTTTGGACCAGGGTAGTGGCAGCGGGAAGAGAAAGGCGTGGACAGGTGCTCCAGGAGAGGCTGTTTCCACAGGATGCGATGTGGACGGTGCCCTCTGGAGTTGTGTGGTCCTGGCTGAGTACCAAGACATACCTGATTAATAAAGGAAGATATCCTACAATAAGGGTGATGTAAAGGGACATCTGAGTTCAGAGACTCTGAAGAGAAGGGAACAGCCCTTTGAGAACAGCAGACTGAATAGGATGGGAGGGCAGCCTGACATTTGTGGCTACAGGGCCCTGGTTTTGTGAAAGTCCTGATTCACAGTATTCCCTCCTACTGTTTCCATAAACAACTGAAATATACAGGAAATCCCACATTTCTGTGTCCAAACACGCCCAGTAATGGAGTGGTGTGCAAGGGCCAGCTCACCCTGAGGCAATTTTGCGCACCCCTTCCCAGCTCTATTGGGTGACGCCTTGCTGGTAGCTTGAAACTGGCCACAGCGGGAGTATTTACACCATGGATACCGGCAAATGCTACAAAGCAGGGCTCCTGATCAGAAAGCTGGTTGTGAAGTTATTCACCAGCATGCCAGTGCACCCCAGCCTCTGGCATCCAGAAGCAGAACAAAAGCCCTTTGTTAGAACCATGTGCTCTGAATCTCTGATGTGGAAAACCAGAATAGGCCATTGTAGCAGGATGAAGTGTCACCGAGTCTTGGCTCTTCACAGCTAAGGATAACAGAGGGAAACAGGAGCCAGGGCAGGGCCCAGGGCTACCCTGGGTGCAGAAAGCATGGGAAGAGAGAAAGAGAGCAGAGAAGAGAGACGGAGATGTAGACCGAAGGTTTGGGAGGTCGGGAGGGAAGGAGCCTCGCATGAACGCCCATCACAGGCTACACATCATACATAAACTATGTCAATGCAACCACCCTGGAAGGTGGGTACAGCCACCCTTTAAAAGACAAGAAAAGAGAGGCTCCAAGACATCAAGTGACCTGCCTCGGGTCCCACAGCTGGATGGTGACAAAGCGGGACTTGAACCAGGTCCACTTGGCTCAGAGGCTCTCCAGTGTGGCGGGGGCACGGTGCAGGTAGGTAAGGAAAGAAAAGATGCTAGGGGAGGAAGGGTGGTCTGAGGCCTGTTTGCTTTCCTTCCCTGTGGGTCCCCACGAGCACCCCCTGGGACCAGTCAGGCCGGGTCTGATTTCCTTGCGTCTCTCTGGGCTATCTTCTCTCCTCCTCCAGCACCTCCCCCAAGGTCAGGCTGCAGGGCTAACTTCCTCCTGGTCTCCAGCACGACAGTGCACCCCAGCCAGCCCAGCCACTCGAGCTGTTCGGGAGTAGCCTTTGAGCAGGCTGGTTACTGCCCCTCCTGCTGCCCCCATGAGATCGGAAGCTCCTGACAGCAGAAGTGTCGACACTGTCCTGAACCGCCGGGCACTGTGCCCACAGAGGTCCCATCACGTGAGGGAGCGTAGGCAGATGCTGGCTTGCTGGAGGCTCCTGGCCCCTGTGAGCTGGGGACAATTTTCCCAGGGGATGCAATAGGTAGAGACCAGAGTCTATAGCTTTCATCCCAGGATACAGCCTGCCTTAGGGATCACAACGCCAGGAATGCAGCTACCTGTCTAATCTGGCGCTCAGGTGGGTTGTCTCCAGGCAACTGTGCTTCCCTGTCTCTCAACCTGACAGAAAGAACTGGAGAGACAGGAGAAAAGCAGCCACTACACAGTCAGGTGAATTCGCAGAGATGTGCCCAGGTCTTCCCCGCAGGAGGTCGGGGAGCTGGGAGGGTCAGGGAGCGGCTGTGCTCCTGCCTGGGGGTTCTCTGCTGCCACCTGGAGGCAGGTCACCCAGCCACGGGTCTGATGCGGGTGGACCTTCTTTATAGCACCCCGTCACCTGACTTCTCTCCCCTCCTCACGGAGCCCCATGCTCTGCACCAGGGTCTGAGTGAGGACTCTTTGGGATGGTGGTGGCGGGGGAACGACATGTGTAACTGGTCTCTATCCTGCCCCTCTGGTCTGTCCTCCATACTGCAGAGTGCTTGCTCCAAAAATGCTACTCTGACCATGCTGCTCACTGCTCAGCACCTGGCATGGCTCCCCACTGCCCTAAGGTTCTCTACAGCTTGGACTCTGCTGGCCTTTATGGTCTTGTCTTTCGGCTACCTTACCCCTGGTGTACCTATAAAACCAGAAAGCGTGAAGGTGCCTTTGCATAGGCTGTTCGCTCTGCTCGGGATGCCTTCTCCTCTCCCCTGCATTCACATGCGGACCACCTAATCTTAGCCTCCTAACTGGTCTCCTGCCCCAGCCCTGACTGCCACAATCTGTTCTTGACACAGCAGCTACAGTGATCCTTTCCAAAGATGTGTAAGATCATGTTCCTCAAAGGTCACGACCCTGCAATGGCCTCTACCTCACTCAGGGAAAGCCCAGTGGCCTACGGGGCCCTGCCCAATCCCTCTGGTCATTTCTTCTGCACGCTCCCCAATGTGGCACAGGTAATTGCATGGTTTAGGTTCCTGCTCCAGGGGCATCTCATCAACGAGAACTTCTCTGACCACCTTGCACTGCCTCACCTAGTTTTTTTTTTTAAAGATTCACATATGTTTAATATATATAAAGGCAAGAAAAGGACAGTCCCGAATTCAAGAGCAACTTTCTGTATAATTTATATGGTGGGGTTGAGTGCCTCATCTAGTTTTATTTCACCACAGTGTTTGAAAAAAATCACAGATTCTGTGTATTTACTTGTTTCCTTGTTGTCTGTCTTTCCACTCTAGAACATAAGCCCCATGAGTGCAGGAACTCAGGCTCCTGTTTACTGTTGGATTCCCTATCCAAAGGCTCATGGGCCCACGGTCTGTTGGTACAAGGGGAATTCGGAAAGATTTTTTTTTTAAGGTAGGCGCCACCCTGGGCGTGGAGCCCAGTGTGGGGCTTGAACTCAGGACCCTGAGATTAAGAGTTGGATGCCTAACTGACTGAGCCACCCAGGCACTCCAGGAAAGCTTTTGTATTTTTAAAGGGTTGTAAAGGAGAATGAGAGGAAGAGGAAAAATTATTATTATTATTGACAGGGCCTGTATGTGGCCTGCAAACACTGAAATTTTACTATCTGGCCCACTAGAGAAAAAGTTTGCCAACCCCTGGCCTAGAATGTGGATGGCACCTACTAGGCTCAATAAATATCTGAAGGAAAAAAATGAATATTCTAAAACTCACCTTTAAAGGACTTCTTACCCCAGAAATAAATTTAAATGCTTTCCTTTAGAGCACTTGCAATATTTTATTTTGTTTACCATCTATTTTTTCTACCAGACTGTAAGAATACTTCCCACATCTTATTTACCTTTGCATTCCCTAGAGGCTTAGAGCACTGTCAGGCATACAGTAGGTACTTAATAAACATTTAATCAATAACTGTGTCTGTCTTGTTCTCTCAGCACTTAGCACAGACACTCAATGGATATTTGTGGAGCGAATCAACGAAGGGAAAATTCTAGAAACTCTTCTGCTTTGCATGGCTCCAGGCCTCCTCCTAAGAGCACACAATGCTAACAGTTAAAGCAGGCACCTGTCCATCTCATGGGCAACCAAAGATGACTCCTTCTTGCCTCTAAGCAGGGACAGAGCTTTGATGGAGTCAGGGTCAAGTCTGGTTACTCGGTCCAGAAAGCTCATTGTTGCCACTCAGTCTCAACAACTGATGGTGGTACATTTGTACCACAACCAGTTTTCAGGATTCTGATCAAGGGACTGATCTACTCATTTCTGCACCAACTCTCCCAACCAGGCTGCCAAGGCGGTTTGGAAGAATGAAGAGCAGTGACAGAATCAGAAAATCACGGGACTCACTGCAAACGAGACACCAATGCAGGCAATGCGGAGGTCAGGGAGCAAGGTTTAGGACTCTGGGCTAGTTCGAGCAGATCTGCTATTGAGCACAGGGCTCGGGGCCGCACTTCCTCAAAGACTCGCTAGGGGCCACGTCTGTGTCCGACCTCTCCTTGTTCTTCTAAGACAACAGCTTTTTACACATAAGTTCCTGCCATTAAGTGGTTTGGAAGAGAGTGCTTGGGGCTGCTTTCCCAGCACCAGTTCTTCTGCCTTCATTTTACCCAGAGCACGCAGTTTATGAAAACGTCATTCGTTTGACCAGGATTCTCAAACTAGGCTTCAGGCCAGTTAGGCGCTAGGTGGAGACACCTACTGGTGGACAGGGATATTGCGCCCAAGCTCTATAATGCATAGTAATAGCAATACCTGGAAGTTGACGCAGGTAGCGAAGCACTAGGAGTGGCAAGCTTGATATCTAAGTATTCCTATGTAAGGAACGTCATTCTTGTGGTCCAGCAGGAATAAGAGAACAAACCGGTCAGCAGAGAGATCTGACAGTGGAAGGGTGATTTTAATACTGAGGAAGTGCTATAAAATATTCTCAAGAGGTACAGTGCCTGAGGTACCATAGAACTTTCTAACTGGCATGTTTTTATTCATGATGACATGTCTTGAATTTTAAAGGTAACTGCATGGACTGCATTTTGTCTCTCCAAAATTCATATGCTGAAGGCTTAACTCTCACAGGATGGCATTTGGAGGTGGGCCTCTGGGAGGTAATTAGATTCAGATGAGGTCATGAGGGTGGGGCCCCCATGATGGGGACAGTGCCCTTACTAGAAGAGACACCAGAGAGCTTGTTCTTGCTCTTTCTCTGCCATAGGAGGACACAGTGAGAAGGCAGCAGTCTAGAAGCCAGGAAGAGGGCTCTTGGCAGAACCTGATGGTGTTGGCACCTTGATCTCAGACTTCCAGGCTCCGTACTTGTGAGGAAATAAGTTTCTGTTGTTTAAGCCACTCATTCAATAGTATTTTCGTTATGGCAGCTCAAGCCAGACTAATATAGTGAGTAATGATAAAGTGGGATTTTCTTTCCAGAAATTCACTATACTGGCAGTCTTGCTGAAAGCCAGTAAATTAGAGAATACTGAAATAAGTAAAGGGTAGAAAAATCAAGAAGAAAGATGCTCTTTAAATAATCAGATGACCTCTTAAATTTGGTGGGAGGACTTTTTCCTGCTGGATGAGCAAAAGTTGAGCCCACATTAGCCCAAGTCTGCAGGAGCCAGCCAGCTGGCCATGACTGGCAAATTCTGGAGACCAATGAGCTTTCTCCAATTCAGAGTTCTGGCACAGAAATCTCAGGGTTTGGGCTGTCAACCTTAAATCCCTTTTACAGTCAATCAAGAAGGCCAGTTCTCACATTAAGGAAGTGTTCAAAGGTCAGATAAGAAAATAAGGCTAATTCCAGCATGGGTCTTTAGCCTGAATGAAGAAAGATGCTATTTTCCATCCAGCTGAACTATAAATAAATCCATCCCCCATCATTGCAGGTGAATGATGTAATAGTCGTCACCACAAATTAGAACCTCTTCTCTTTTCCAGACCAGTCCCCTCATCAAGCCTGTTCCCACCGGACACTTTGGTTTTTGCAAACCAGAGCTGTCTCTTTCCTCTTCTCCTTTAGCCGTTCCCTCCAGGAATGTCTCTGCACACTCAAAGCCAGAAACTCTGTGACCTGCCCAAGAATGGCTGTGCCTCTTTTCCTCTCTGTTCTTTTCTAAGAAACATATCATTATGCTCAGAGCTCAAGGACCATTTGCAGCTTTAACAGGATGCCATAGCCCCAGCCAGTACCTATAAAACCCGAAAGTGGAGCTGTAAACAGACTGGTTGGGAAAAGGAGGGCGTTCATTCCAGACGCCAGACCTTGAGGGAAAAAGACCCAGCTCCTCCCCACTCTTCCTTGCTAGAATGGCTGGGGCCCTATAAAGCTGACCAGAGGCCTTGTACCCAGGGGGCCGTAAAGGGACCAGAGGCATTGAATTTGGACAGGGATGCCCATGTGCTTTGAATTAATGGTAGCAGTATAAAGACAGCAGTAAACATGTAGCACTTAAAATATGCCAGGCATTGTTCTAAGGGCTTTGTACATATTACTATAAATCCTATAATAATCCTCCAAGATAGATTACTATTATTATCCCCATTTTACAGATGAGAGAACTGAGGGCCATGAGAGGAGGCATCCTTTTTCACATCCAGGATCTCTGCTTGGCCCCTCTTTCCCTACATCATTATCAATGCCCTCAATCTTCCCAGAGTCCTAGATGCATATAAGAACTTAGACTTCTGGAAGCTCTGAAGACCACGCTGGCTCCAGGTGTGGGGGTTGCGGGGCAGGGGACTTTGCAGATGTGGGGTGGGGGCAGATAATCCTGGGGTGCTGGAAGGAAAGGTCAGACTGTTGTGAATCTAAAGTTGTCAACCCCAGGCCTGCAAAGACTGAGTCATTCCTTTGTGCATACCCGAATCCCCACCTTCTCTTTCTCCATCATTGCTCTAGAGAGAAGAGCTGTGCCTTCCAGGGTGGACAGGGAGGCTGGGAAGGGAGGGCACTGATGCTCGGGAGAAGGGAGTGAGCGCCAGAGGTGCTGGAAAGAGTGGCCGTTACTGCCCAGAACAGTGGCTGACTAAGGGAAGCACAGAGGCTGGGCCTCCCACTTGTGCACCTCTCCTCAACCCCAACCGCCCTTCGCTCTGTGGAAAGCTCCTGCTCACTCTTCAAGACCCAGCGTCTCTTCTTTTTTGACCCCTTCCAACACCTGGGAAGAATGCTCTCCGCTGTGAGGCACCACATTCCTCTGTGCACAGCAGAGCAGAGGTACCTAACCCCTATGTCTGGTCAGGGGGTGTCAGGCTCCCCTACTCCTCTGAGGCATTCTCAGGGAAAGACAGCAGGTCTTATCCAGTCTGTACCTTTTTTGGTATAGGATGCAACAACCTCCAATTCTTTTTTTGGGAAACAGGCTGGAATATCAACCAATCAACCAAGCATCCAACCATCCATCCATCCATCCATCCATCCATCCATCCATCCATCCACCCAGTCACATGCTGTATCCCTCAGGCAGTGCCCAGGGCCTGGCGATCAGAGGTGCTCAGCAGGGGTATGTTGAACATTGAAAGAATGAAAATGCAAAATATTCTTACCGGATTTCTTTTTCCCAACATGCTCCCTGCACAAGAAAGAAGGGGGTGGGAGAGAGTTAACGAGTCAGTAGTGTTACACAGTGACATGAGTTATTCCATTAGGAAACAGATTCTCCATCCCACAACATCTCCGGTGAACGAATACAATCAGAGGCAGCCCCAGGGACCCAGATTCTTTGAAAAAGAAAGAATTCCTCTTAATTTTCTCCCTTTGCCCTGTAAGTGCTCTGGCCCCCTGGGGACCAGCATGTCTACTCTATTTGCAGAGTAGGGGGCCCTAGGGAGGGGTTGATGTGGGGGCATGCAGTATGAAAACATTAGGCCCCCATGTTGCACAGAGCCTGATGCCCACCTCGGCAGGCACAGCAGAGACCCTGCCCCACTTCTTAGGGCTGCCCTGAGCTGTACTCATGGAGCAGAAAGCTCTCGGGGGTAAGTGTAAGTGGAACGCATGAAAACTGGGTAGAAGTCTAGATATCAGTAAATAAAACACACCTCTCTCGCCATGACATAGAGAACACTACTGTGGGCTAGGATTCATACAGAATAATGAGTACCGACTCCCTTGTTATTTGTCAACCACATTGGAATTTATACACACAACTGCATTACCAATACAATATTACAAATCAGGGATTACAAAATACTTATAAGTAAAGTATCCCATTAGTAAAAAGATTTCCTGTATTATAAAGGGAAAAGGGAGGTGACCAGATGGTTGGGTTGAGACAAATGTTGTGGCAGTAGTAACATTAGCTAATAATTACTAAATGTTATTACCCTGTGCCAGTACCCTGGCTGGGTACTTTTAGTTCACTCATTTAGTGCTCATAATAACCCTTGGAAATAAGTGCTCTTTTAATGCCCATTTTCTGGGTGAGGAAAGCGAGGCCCAGAGAGGTTAGGTAACTTGCCTAAGGCTACACAGCTAGCAAGGTGCAAGCTGAACCCAGATCTACCTAACTTTTAAAAATTGAGCTATAAATCATGCACTATAAAATTCATTCTGCTGAAGTGTAGAGTTCACTGGTTTTTTAGCATATTCACAAGGTTGTGTAATCATCACCACTGTCTAATTCCAGAAAATATTCATCATTCCAAAGAGAAACCCCGTACCTAGAAACAGTCACTTGCTGTTCACACTCCCCCCAACTGCTGGCAGATACTAATTTGCTATTGATGCTAACATTTGTCTATTCTGGACGTTTTATATGAATGGGATCATACAGTATGAGGCTCTTTGAGACTGGCTTCTTTCGGGTGGCATGTTTTCAAGGGCCAAGCACCTTGTACCACGGATGAGTATTTTATTCCTTCTTATGGCTGAATAAAACCCCGTTGTGTGGGTAAACCACACTTGGCTGACGTGTTCATCAGCTGAGAGGCACTGGGTTGTTTCCACATTTTTGGCTCTTACGAATCCTGCTTCTGTGAATGTGTACACAGGTTTTTGTGTGGACGTATATTTTTATTTCTCTTGGTTCTATGCTGGAATGGAATGCCAGGTCACATGGTAACTCTCGGTTTCACTTTTTGAGGAACTGCCAGGCTGTCTTCCATAGCAGCTGTACCATCTTACGAGCCCGCCCGCGGCACACGCCGATGCCAGTTTCTTCACATCTTAGACAACACTCACTGCTCTCTGCTTTTTGGTTCTAGCCATTCCAGCGGGTGTGGTTTGGATTCTCATTTCCTGATGGCTAACGATGCTGAGCAGCTTCTTCTCTTCTCTGCTTATTGGCCATTTGTGTATCTTCTTTGGAGAAATGTCAAGTTCAGTCTGATTTTCAAGTCTGGCTTTTTCACCACCATGTAATGATCCTGTCCCTGTCATTGTGGGCTTCGTGGGAGAGGGTGAGGGGGCTAAGCCAATCCCCTGAGCCTGGGGCTGCACTGCTGTGCACCTGGGAGGAGCAGCAGGGCCTGGCCCCAGTGCTGGGCCGTGCTGGTCGGTCGTGCTGTCCCCTGGCCACGCATTACCTCAGTGGGGCTAAACTTCATTGCCCCTGTGCGGCTCACGTTTACTGGCACTTACTGGGTACAGAGTGCTGGTCAGAGTGCTGTATCTGGACCCACCCGATGAATGTTCATAATAATCCTTGAGGGTTACTCCATTTCACAGGTGGAGACACGGAGACCCAGGGAAATGAAGCACCTCACCCAACATCAGAACCCAGGGAGCCCAGCTGGGGCCCACTCTCCTGACCAAATCCTGGCCTGGCCTGTAGGTGAAGTCTCCTTCTTAGCGGCCAGCTCCAAGACATACCCACAGAGGTCCCTCAAGGCTGCCTCTGTGTAAAGCACCATCTGCCTGAGTTGCCATCAAGGCCTGTGACCTGAGCCACGGTCTGGGCTCCTTGAAGTCCTGGGCTCCTGCCTGCCATATATTCCTGCTGGTTGTCTTGCTGTCCTGGCTGGAGCCGGCAGTTAGGGGCAGCGGGGGGCTCTTGGGATCAAGCAGCCTCATGTGTGGGCTCACCAGGCACATCATCTTCTCTGTGTGACATGCTTGGGACGGTCCCAAGTTTTCCTATGCATGGCAGCAAAAAAACCCTTCCTTTAACAGCACCATTTGGAATCCATCTTCTGTCTCCCTAAAGACTGCCGGGAACGACCCCCAGTTTCCATCTTTAGCCCTAACTCAGGTATGAGCTTTAGGATCCTGACCAAGGGACCAGCTGTTTCGTTGCTATTTCATTACTCCCTCAACCAACAACCAAGGCCCACCTGAGACTGACTGCCTGCTGTGGCCCCAGAGCCACCCCCTGGGCCCCCAGCAACCTTCCCACCTTCCTTCCTCATCAAAGCCTGGCTTAAAGACAGGAAGGCCTCACCAGGTAAGTAAGTACCTGCCATGCACCAGGCTCTCCTTGATAGGCAGGATGGTGTTTAATCCTCACAACCAAGATGGGATCGAGGTTAGCCAAGACCACTTTACTGATGAGGAAACAGAAGCCCAGAGAAGTCAAGACACTTGTTCAAGGTCATATAGCAGGGAAAGGACAGAGAGATTGGAACTTTTCCTTCTTTACAGGAAGCCTCTTGGAACTAGATACATATACTCCAGCAGGATGCTGTTTGCTTATCACGGCTGGTACTTCGTGCTTTCTTTGGTATAGTCTAGGCTACATTTTGTATTTTTAGTGGCTTCTAGTTGTGTGTACGTGTGTGCGCGTGCACCTGCACCTGCTCTCTCTCTCTGGCCAAAGAGGCTGTCTGGCACTTCTCAGCCCTTCCCAATAGGTGCTGGCTCTGACCCCTATGACCCCAGACTGCCCCGCACCTGTGGGCTGGTCCCCACCGCCCCCAGCCCTGCGACTGCTCCATTATAGAGAACTCTTCTCTCTGCAGACACGCATGGTGGTTTCCCCCACAATTAAACTTTTTAAAAAAGCGCTATGTGTAGGTCAGTGTTTCGGGCTGGCAGGGCCATCGGTGCCATCAACTCCTGATGTGTAAAGCCAGCAGGCAGTGGGGAGAGTCTCTGCAGCGTGCCTGGGCTGCCAGGACCACTGGCTACACACGGACAGGCACCTGAGGGTGTTTTCTGTCTGCTGCAGGGGCTGGGGTGAACATTTTGGGACAGTGTTAGACCCTGGATGACCAGGATCAAATTCTGGCCCTGGCCCTGTCACTCACGAGCGCTGAGACCTCGAGCAGGTCTTGTCACTCATTCATTCATATCCCTCACGGTCACGAGCACATTCACCCTTGTGGGCAAGGCCCCACCCCAAAGGCATCCAGGCTCCCGCTTCCACCACTCTCCATGTGTGAGCCAGCTTCCTTCCCCTGTGCGGGCCACATGGAGCAAGGTCCCACAAGGGCTCAATCAGGGTGGTCAAGCTGAATTTTTTACTTTGCTCTATTCCAATTCCTCTTGGGGCTGGCCTGGGAGCAGGGATGGCCGTGAGGGTACACTCTGGGGAAGTCCACACACCAACTTACTCTTTCGGGGGATTCAGGTCCTCGGGTCTTGTCTCGAAGAACTGCAGCACCTCATCACACTGAGAGATATAGGGGGGCAGCTGGATCAGGGCCTGGAGAAGAGACACAAATGAGTCCAAAGGAAGGAAAGGGGTGTCAGGAATGCCATGAGTCAGGGCTTCTCAAACTTGGGTATGATAAGAATCACCTGGGGGGCTTGTGAAACCAGACGGCTGGGTCCCAGATCTTCTGATTCAGTAGGTCTGGGGTGGGGCCTGAGAATGTGCATATCTGACAAGCTCCCTGGTGTTGCTGCCGGTTTGGGGACCACACACACTGTGTATACATGCACACACACACAGGCGTGCACATACATGTTATGGGCATATCTGAGCAAAGAATATGTATACATTTATCTGAAACACTAAACTGGTGACTTCATGCCATGTCATTATTCTTCTATGACTTCATGTCTACTGGATGTTGAGGGTGTCTATTGCACAAATGTATCGTACTTTATTGACCCAGCTGCCTACTGGTGAACACTAAGCTGGTTTCCAACATGCCTGCACGCATGTCTTAACTCACAGATCTGCAGTGTTACAGCAAGGGCACTGCTTTATGATTTGGGTAGAGGTTAGAAGTTCCCAGGTTATTGAGGGGTTGAAACATCGGGTATCTGTCACCGCCCCAGTCCATATTAATTTGCCATGCTAGCTCATCAGTTAAAGGAGCCTCAGATGTCTGCCAGCGGGTTGGATAAGGAGTGGGTGGAGGGCACAACGGGGACGAGGCATTCGTTGGGCCTGTTCATCTCCCAACAGGTATCCATTCAATGATTCTAAAGACACGATTTCTGGGCCCAGCACTGCACTGGTGTCTGTGTCCAATACGAGAGAAGGATGGATGCATCCTGATCCTGAAAGAATATGAAACTAAGATGAAGCACCATCATGAATAAACAGCTTAGTGTAACAGATCTTTACTTAAGCCCCTTCTGGCCTGGGTCCTGAGGATGCAGATCGCAGGGCACGAAAGCTGCGTCATGCACACATTCTCTTACAAACTTCCGTGCAGGGAGCGCGCCTGCGCACATGCACAGATGTAAATAGCACGGGCAATGTTGCCCGTCATTTCAGCCCGCCAGTGCCTGCTCCGGAGGGAGGCAGGACTCTGCTCCTCTCCACAGAAGGCCTCAGTTCCTGGGTGCCTCTCATGTGCCTCCTGCAAGTGCTGAGTGAGTTGGGAGTGGAGAAAAACATGTCCTATATTTTCTATATAACAAGCCTCTAAAAGCTCACCTCCCATTCATCCCCTGCAAAGTGATGCTCCAACCCTGCTCCTGGCATACGATGGACTAATGGGGAGATGGATGGGGGTCTCCAGTGGTCCCTTCCTCAAGGTTTCAGGGGTATTTTGACTTATTTTTCTGATTTTTAAGAAGTTTTAGGGGCGTCTGTGTGGCTCAGTCGGTTAAGTGTCTGCCTTTGGCTCAGGTCGTGATCCCAGGTTCCTGGGATCGAGCCCTGCGTGGGGCTCCCTGCTCCGCTGGGAGCCTCTTCTCCCTCTGCCCCTCCCCCCTGCTCATGCTGTCTGTCAAAATAAATAAAATCTAAAAAAAATAAAAAAAGTTTTAATTGTGGTAAAATAACACATAAAATTTGCCATCTTAATCATTTTTTTAAGTAGGCTCCATGCCCCATGTGGGGCTCAAACTCATGACCATGAGACCAAGAGTCACACTACACTCACTCTACAGACTGAGCCATCCAGGCACCCTATCATCTTTAGCATTTTTAAGCATACAGTTCAGAGGCATTAAGTACGTTCACCTTGTTATGCAACCATCCCCACCTTCCAGCCCCAGAACGCTTTCTATTTCGCAAAACTGAAGCCCTGTACCTATTAAATAATTCCCCCTTCCTTCAGCTCCTGGCAACTGTTCTACCTTCTGTCTGTATGAATTTGATTGTTCCAAGTACCTCATATAAGTGGAATCATACAATATTTGTCCTTTTATGCCGGGCTGCTTGTATTTAGCTAACGGCCTCAAGGTTCATCTATGCTGTAGCAGGTGCTGGGATTTCCTTCCTTTTCAAGGCTGAATAATATTCCACTGTACGGCTCTGCCACATTCTGTTTATTCATTCACCCACTGATGGTCACCTGGGTAGCTGACCCTATATGGCCTTTGAGTCCGGCTCTGACTTTAAGCCAGACCCCCAGGTTCGAGCTGTCTCATACCTAAAGTTGAAGAAGACGTGAGGTCGGTGGACGTGTTTTAGCAGGGTGATTTCCCTAGTCACTGTCCGAGCTCTTCACCCCAGAAGGGCCTGTTATTTGTGGCTCATTGATTTTACTGAAGTAGCTCCTGCTCTGTAGCAGATCCCCAGGGACTGATCTTTTCCAGGCCAGAGGCAGAGAGGCCAAGAGGGAGAGAGCAGGCGCTTCCCTCCCCTGCCTCTGGCTTCTGACCTCCTTCTCTTTCTGGTTTGGAGGATTCATTCTGCTTGGGACGAGCTGCCGTCTTGGGGGCCCCCGCGGGTCTCTCTTTCCTCTGAAATCCTGCAGTTTGTACAGTTAGAACCACATAGTGAAGGAGCTGATTATATGCTGGACCGTGGTGTGTCCTGGCTGCTTTGTGTGCAGAAATCTTGCGGTCGCCCCCAGACTGCAAAACCACCATTCCCTTATGTCGGCTCAGCACTCGATGGCTCCCAGAACGCGTTCGTCTGTGTCATTCCATGCAATCCTGGGAGGGCTGGCCCATTTCGGAAATGGGGAAATGGAAGCTCTGGTGAAGTAGGCAGGACTGGATAGCCCAGGGCTGGCTGACTCCAGCTCCTCTACCCCGAACCCACAGAAGGCAGGGGTATGCGGCTGTTCCTCCCGCACCTTCCCTACAAGTCTAGATAGTCCTGGGGAGCCCCTGATACCTGGTTGAAAGTATTCACTGGACCAATGCCATGAGGGAGAGCAGGGTGGGCCCTGAGGTGGCCATGGTCTGCACCTACGGGGGCCTCCCGGGGTGCTCCCTGCTGAAATGAGCAGAGGCTCCAAAAGGACCAGTGAGGGAAGGGACAATGAGGCCCACGGAAACCTCCTGACAGTGCCAAGTTCCCTTTTGGTTTTGAGCAATTCCTAGGAAGTAAAAGCCAAATCCCTAAACCATAAAATATAGCCAAGTTACTAATAAAAGGCGGCACTGAGTGCTTTGATGTTTACCCCTTTCATTTTGGAAGGACAGGCTAACACAAAAACATGACCCGGGGCAGAGAAATAATTCTGCTTCTGAAATACTCCAGAACTGTCTTGTGTTCGGTCAGTAAAAACAAAGAACCACAGTTCCAGGAAAACTCCGTTCTGTCCCGGAGGGAATCCTGGCTCTTTGGAGAGATGTGGCTGGTCGATGCAGGGATGAGAGGAGAGGTGAGCAGAACGAGTCCCGTTTGCTGAGAGTCATGATAAAAGGTCAGATAGCCCCAGCTGCTGATTCTGGCTCTGGCCAGGTCCCATCACCTCTCTGAGCTTCAGTTTGGTCATCTGTAAAACGGAAATCACAAACACCCACCTTGGAAGGTTGTGCTACAGAATAAGTGAGGAAGTGGCTTTGAGATTTCCATCATATGCTATAGCTGCTTGACATGAACTCTTTGTCTCTCGGTGCTGTGTTAATGGGTACTGTATAATGTAGTGGTTCTGGGAGGTGATTCCAGAGCCAGCAAGATGGCTCGCTTGAATAACAATGCCTTGCCTAGTGAGGGAGTTGGGTTTTCTCAGTTCTTTCAACCCTCTTGAACTTCAGAATGAATGCCTTAGCGAATTACCACTTTTCTCTCATTATATTTTTAAAATTTTATTTCAGTGTGATAGTAACACTCACCACAAGATCTATCCTCGTGACAAATTTTAAGTGCGCAATACAGTATTACTGGGTGTTGTACCGTGGATCTCTAGAGCTTACTCCTCTTGCTTGGCCGCAACTTTATACCCGTCGGTTAGTAACGCCCTGTTTTTCTGTCCCTCCAGCCCCCGGCAACCACCATTTTGCTCTGTGATTCTGAGTTTGACTATTTCAGATCATGTAAGTGGAATCATGTAGGATTTTATCTTTCTGTGACTGGCTTATTTCACTTCGTAAAGCGTCCTTAAGGTTCATCCACATTGTGACATATAGTCGAATATCCTTTTGAAAGGTGGAATAGTATTCTGTTGTCTGTATATACCACGTTCAGGTTGTTTCCACATCTTGGCTATTAGGAATAGTGCTGCTACCAGCATGGGAGTGCTAATCTCTCTTCCAGATCCTGATTTCAATTTCTTTGGATGTATACCCAGAAGTGGGACTGCTGGATCATATGGTAGCACTATTTTTAATTTTTTGAAGAACCTCCATACTGTTTTTCATAGGGGCTGCATTTCACATTCCCACCAACAGTGTGCAAGCGTTCCAATTTCTCCATATTCTTACCAACACTTGTTTTTTGTTTTTGTTTTTTATAGTAGCTATCCTGACAAATGTGAAATGATATCACATTGTGATTTTGATTTGCATTTCCCTGATGATGAGTGACATTAAGCAGTTTTCCATATACCAGTTGGTTATTTGTGTATCTTCTTTGGAGAACTGTCTATTCAAGGTCTTAGCCCATTTTTAAATCAGATTATTAGCTTTTTTATTATTGAGATATATGGGTTCTTTATATATTTGAGATTGACCCCTTGACAGATATATGATTTGCAAATATTTTCTCCCATTTTGTATGTTGCTTTTTTACTCTGTTATTTCCTTTGTTGTGCAGCTTTTTAGTTTGATGTAGTCCCACTAGTTTATTTTTATTTTTGTTGCCTCTGCTTTTGGTATCATATCCATGAAATCACTGCCAAGAGCCTCAAATAAATCCACACATATAGGCAACTGGTCTTTGACAAAGGCACCGAGAACATACAACAGGAAAGGGACAGTCTCTTCAACAAATGGTGCTGGGAGAACAACATCCACATGCAAAAGAATGACATTGGGCCCTTATCTTACACCACATGCAAAAATCCACTCCAAATGGATTAAAGACTTAAACATAAGACCTAAAACTGGGAAATTCCTGGAAGAAAA